GTAGGGGAAAGAGCAAACATCATACCTCTACGTTTTTTATATCCATTAAAAACATGGAATAAATATTTATTTTTTTGAGACAGGGTCTCACTATGTAACCCAGGCTGGCCTTGAACTCATGGGGGATCTTCCTGCCTCAGCCTCCCAAGTACTGGGATTATAGCCATGTGCCCAGCTCCTCTTTTACTTTGTGGACTCTGGCATATTTGGAGGATGATCGTGAAGCTATTGGATAGTCAAGGAAAGCGACCCGAGACCCCAGGGACCCTCTCCTCTGAACACGGGTCTCACTATGTAACCCAGGCTGGCCTTGAACTCATGGGGGATCTTCCTGCCTCAGCCTCCCAAGTACTGGGATTATAGCCATGTGCCCAGCTCCTCTTTTACTTTGTGGACTCTGGCATATTTGGAGGATGATCGTGAAGCTATTGGATAGTCAAGGAAAGCGACCCGAGACCCCAGGGACCCTCTCCTCTGAACACCCAGGTGGGCAACGTTTTTTATATCCATTAAAAACGTGGAATAAATATTTATTTTTTTGAGACAGGGTCTCACTATGTAGCTCAGGCTGGCCTTGAACTCATGGGGATCTTCCTGCCTCAGACTCCCAAGTACTGGGATTATAGCCATGTGCCCAGCTCCTCTTTTACTTTGTGAACTCTGGCATATTTGGAGGATGATTGTGAAGCTATTGGATAGTCAAGGAAAGCGACCCGAGACCCCAGGGACCCTCTCCTCTGAACACCCAGGTGGGCGTGGCCTCCCTCATGAGTTGGTGCTGTGTCACTGTTGCCAGGGCAGTTCAGGAGGGGGACTCTGTGTGCGCAGGGAGTCGGAGGGAGGGAAGGGGAGCAGAGATGCAATATTCTCCATCTCTAGGGCCCTGTGCCAGGGACCGCGTGCCCCGCCCTGAGCACAGCAGGGCCCAGTGACTTACTGAGAAGATGGCAGCCAGGGTCTCCACGCCGCCCGTGCTCAGAGTGATGTAGGGGACGCTTCCCGGAGCAATCCCGGCCTTTCCAAAGATGCTGTTGGTGTAGAACCAAATCTAGACACGGGAAGGAGAAGAAGAAACGGAGGCTGGCACGAGAGCATCCGCGAGCTCCTGCCTTGATTCGGGGAAAGGCAGCCTCCAAGCTTCGCTGCTAACCCGAGTCACGTGGTGGGGCAGTGATGGGGTCACTCATTTTAACAGAACTCACACGAGCCCGGGAGGGGACATGGGGCCAAGGCCGCTTCTGAGGCCTCCTGTCAGTTAGGTGTGACAATGAGACAGAGACAGGAATGTGGCTGGGGCAGAAGTACGCTCCTATTTTTTCCCTCTTCTTCCTCTCTCCTGTCAGGATGATGGAGGGATGGCTGGAATTTCAGCAGCCCTTTTGGATTATTAGGTGACCTCAGGATAACCTTTCTATTATCCCCCATGGGAACTTGGTAAGAGCCAGAAAAGGTCCCTGTTCCACAAGACACTTTCTGCTGTCATTGGAAAGTCGTCCTAACAAATCTACAATCAGTGCAAGGTGAGCGGTGACAGCAATGTGGCTTGCTTAGAGTCCCTCTCCTCCTTGGTCAAAACAACACCCCATGCTGGCCTGTGTGGTGTCTGGAGCCGGGTGTCATGATTCAGTCTGCAGCTTGGGACCGGTAGGCTATGCCCGAATGATTTCTGTGACTTCCCAGCCCAGCTGTCAGCCTAGACCCAGAGCCTGGAGAACTGGGACCCCAGCTGTCTGAACATCCGAATCCCGATGAACCCGCTCCCAGGACACAGGTGCAGCAGCCCGCTCCCTATGCAGCAGACCTTAAAGTTCACTGCTCACAGCCTGTCAGGCCGGCTTTGGGTGGGCACGTTCAGCACTTTGTCTCTGGTTTCTACAAATCTGTCTTGGTAGCAGCATTTGTTTAGCACATGTTATTCATGCCCAGGGGGAAGACACGGGACCCACTTTTAGGGATGGTGGGGTTGATTTTCAGCGAGGAGAGGACCTGCCCTGTACTCATCCGCGAGGTGAGTCTTGAGCGGTGAAGTGGAGACAGCGGAACCAACAGTCACGTGACCACCGGGCTGGGTCCCACTTTCAGCCCGTGAAAACTCACGGAGACTGACCGTGCCTCCAGCCCCTGCTCCTTCCCGAGCCCCCAGTCACCCTGCCCACATTATGGCTGCTGTGGAGGTGACCCCGGGCCCCCACCCTGGAGGAGTGAGGGGCTCTAGTCCCGAGGTCAGGGTCTCTGTCTTGAAGGAGAAGCCCCCCTCTCCAGGGACCTTGTGGCTTCATGCCAAGGGAGGCAGCTGCCAAAAAGAAGTGATTTGGGGTGACAGGTCTAATTTTAGAGAAGAAAATGTTAAAGCTATTGTAGAGAAAGGGCAGTTAGAAAAAAAACTAAATGCGAAGTCCAACTTTCATGCAGTCACAAGAAAACCACCCATCGACTCTTTAGCATTGGGTACTGAGCGAGGGGCAGTGTGTTTCACGCAGTGGATCTCAACCTTGGCGACCTCAGCTCGGGGGACATTCGGCGGTGTTGGGACACATTCTTGGCTGTCACAGCTGGTGGGGAGCAACTGGCCAACTGGGTAGAGGACAAGGATGTGGCCGGGCACCCTATGCCCCCATGACAAGGACGCCTCCACCCCCAGGCGGAAGGTCTGAGGCTGGGAATTAGGCTGGCCAAGCCCAGGCCATCCTGGGATGCCACACATCTGCCATCAGAGGTGTGAGTTTGCTGTGCCACCCTGGGACCTTGGACAAGTCCCTGACCCTGTGCAAGGTGTGGGTTCTTTGTGTGGAAAATAAGGACAGTGCTGCTGACCCCACGGGACCTTTCGGGGGCAGGAGCAAGGTGACAGGTGGGAAGGTGGCCGCAGTACCGTCAGGTATCTCAAAGGACAGACTACGCCTCCCAAAGTGACTTCTGGCAAAGTGAAGGGGCTGGCACCGCCAGGGCGGTTGCAGCACTGATCGGGTTAGAGCCCTCCTCAGCCTCAGGGATGTGCAAACAAGGAAGCAGGATGAGGGAAAGCCTGGCCCAGGCCCAGCGGGTCAGGCACCAAGGCTGGCGTGGGCCCTCGGCCTGCGAAACATAAAACAGATTAGTCAGGACGTGTCCTGGAGTTTGTCTGGGAGTACTCTGGGGACAGCTCACAGGACACATTTGGGGATGCTGTGAGGGACTCCCGAAACTGTCTACGCTCTGGTCTTAGGCATTCAGACCTTGGGAACCAAACACCTGGGGTGCAAATCCCTTTTGTATTTTCCCTAGCTGTGTGATTCTGGAAAAGTGTCTCATTGTCTCTGTTCCTAGCAGTGGGGCTGGGGGACAGCTCCTGGTTCTCGCTTAGCACACGTTCCTGGGTTACTTGATTATCCCTGCAGCTGAAGTTACTGAGCCAGGTTAGGGGAAGCACCGGGTCCGGCTTCTCCCTGCCACCTTTCGGTCACAGAGGGACAGCAAGCCAGGCCCCTGACCGTCCAGAGCTCTCTGCTGAGGACACGCACTGCCACTGGCCATGGGAGCAGAGGACATTCAGGGCTTGCAGGTTTGCCCTGGTGGGATTTATAAGGTCACATGGGGCGTGTGAATGGGAGAGTTCTGTCCGGTGCGGGCAGTGCTCTGTGCACACAGTGCCTCAGGAAGCACAGTCTCAGATGCGTTCTTTGAGGCTCCACAGCTGAGCCTTAGGAAATGAGGAAATATTACCTCTCTCCCTCTCCACTCAGGGGGAGTGGGGCCAGCAGGGTGGCCGGTACTGAGGTAGGAGATTGAGCAAGAAGTAAATAGAAAGCTCTGAGACAAGAATCAAGAAGCCGGACAGAGCAAGGAAGACTGTCGTGATATCAGAAAGTCAACAGCTAGAGGTCACCACATCCTTCTCCAGGCCCTTACCCCTGGAGACATCCCGCTGCATTTTGCAGAAGCAACAACACCGACGGTGACTCTGTGGAATCTGCCTCATTTGTCAAATTCAGGAATTCCACTTCTAGAGCCTTGGAGAGAGAAGAGATGGCAGAGGGCTGGGACCCCCCTGGAGAGAGGTCCTTAGCTCAGAAACCAAGACACTTAATGGAAAGCCTTGAGGTTTTCTCAGGCCAACGGGTTGAGTTGAAACCAGCCCAGCCAAGTCCACTATCATGGTTCACCTGGTTTGTCAACTTGATAGCTTGAGAGCTACCTGGGAGACCAGTAAGGCACACTTGGAGGTATGTCTGGGTGGGAGGAACAGTGACCTCAGGGCGCTATCTGGTCTCTGGGCTTTCCCTCTGGGGCTCCCTCCCTCCTCTCTGCTTCCTGGATCTCATGAGTTGAACGGCTTTCCTCTACCAGGCCATTTCTGCCTTGGAGCCAGTAAACCACGGACTGAACCCTCTGAAATCAGGAGCCAGAATAGACCTCTCCTCCTTTAAGTTGTGGGTACTGGGTATTTTGATCACAGTGACAAAACCTTGACTAATTAAGAAAAAGAAATCTGATCGATACATCTATCTTTTTGAAATAATCTCACTGTCTCCTATGTATGCCTTCCTAAGTAAGTGCCCATTTCAGTGAGAAATACAATCTTTAGGTATTCCAAGGAATAAATAATAATGGTAGGCAGCATCTCTGAAGGTATAAATGACTCTTGTACCAGCTGCTCAATACTCTGTGTGGATTTCCTTTGTGCATTGGACTATCCCGTTGTACAGATGAGGAAGCTGAGGATCTGTCAAATTCATGGCTGCTCAGCAGCAGAGCTGGGATTGGAACAATGGCTCATAGCCCCACCCCCAAGTCCTCCTGCCCAGAGCCCGGCACTCACCGCATTGAGGCCGCAGAGCTGGTAGCAGGCCATGATGACAATCACGGTGATGACCTGGCAGCGGACGAAGGGAGCCCTCAGCAGCTCCAGGACGGGCACCAGGCGGATGTTCCTCTGTACGCGGTTCTCAGAGAGGATCTCCTCCATCACTCGGGAGACGTCTGCTTTGCCCAGGAACTTCTGAAACGCTGCGATCAGGGATATAGTTAAGATGTCTGCTGTGTCTGAGGGACAGTGCGCGCACCCAGACACACACCATCTCGGGGACCTTTGAAACCACAGAATCCAAAGCCCCTGACTGAGGTCACCCAGCCGCCTGGGAGCGAGCCCAGTTCTGCTCATGACCTCATGCAACATGGAGTCTGCCCGTGGTTCGAACCATCTCTACCAGGGCAGCTGGGTTCCTCTTTGTCCTGGGTTCCTCACTGCTGCCTCCGTGGCTGCTGTAACGATGGCACATGGTATCAGACACACCAACCCCAGACTCAGAGCTTCCCACATGCAGGGAGTATTTACTGGCGCCCCCTTTTGCCTGGCTGTCTCTGCTCTTGCTCAGTGGGGTGTCCAGAGGGAGTTTCCATCCCACTTGACCGGGATCTGAGTGATGCCCACATTCGGATCTGTCAAGGGAAGGAAGACTGAACCTAAAGACCTTCTAGGTCTTTCCACGTGGCCTTCAGGAATGCAGACACCATGAACAGAAATCATCTCAAAGAGCATATCTTCCCAGGGCTCAAACCCCACCTCCCCACAATTTACACCGTTTCCAGATTGAACGCTGCAAATCTCCAGCTTCTGAAAAACCCGCACATCTGACTGAGACTTTAATTATGTAAACCTCCCTCCCAGGAGGAATGCCCGAGGTGGGCCTCCTGATCAGAACCTACATCATTATCGGGCCATCAGGGGGCCACTGTTAGAGCAAGGATTTCAATATTCAGCTCTCTGACACCCTTCCTTCGATGGGGAAAAGGAGGCTGTCTCCCCGGCTCCCAGGGTCAGTCCATCCCAGAGCCAGTGGGTAGCGTCCTTAATGACTCTGTGCCACACCACAGGACACGTGAACTTGTTAATCTTAAGCCGGGGGAAAAAAAAAAAGCTGTTAAACTTGCCTCTGATTCACACTAAGGCTTTGTTCTTTCCAGTATTCTAGTGAAAATTGCAAAGTGTCTCTTTGCAACCTGTGATTTAATGCTTTTCCCAGCACAGACTAAGAGTAAGAGGAGAGGTAAGCTGGGCGGGTAATGCTCCTGTACTATGCATGGAACCATGGAATTTCTGACATTGCTTCAAATTTCACGATGCAACTTCTCTGTGATAAGACAGTTCCGGAAGTGGAGGGCAGGAAAATATTTCTCTCCCTCCCTGAGGTACATGTTTTCCAAGGAAATGAGATAAAGAGGAGATAGATAAAGCAAGGAGAACTTGACAACCTTTTCTTTCCCCTTCTCCCTTTAGCTGACAGGAATCTCTCAGCCAAGTTCAGGGTTCAGCTCTTCACAGAATTTCCTGGAAGAAAAATCTTTCTTCATCTTAGAAGTTCTGATCATCTTCGACAGCTGCAGTCAACCTGAAGGCTGCAGGCCACCTGCCCTCCTTTTATTTGATTGTTATCACGCAGCCCAGGCCGGCTGAGTGGCAGGACAGACACATCTTGTTTTCTGACTCTAACTGCTTCCACAGATGAGTGGGTTTCCCAGCGGCAGATCTGTACCGGCACACAAGATGCTCCGACCCTTTCACCTCTCCTTGTTGCCCCTTCCCCCTGCTTTGGATACCCATACTGTAAAACATCAGTTTAATCTCGGTACTGAGGTGTCTTGGGCCGGATAACTGCTGTGGGTTCCCGTGCATTGGCTCATGTTTATCAGTGTTGCTGGCCTCTGCCCACCGGATGCCAGTATCTCTTGGTGGTGACGGTCAAAGATGTGTCCAGATATTGCCAAATATCTTCTCTCCAGAGGCCCCCCGGCTTCTCTCCCCCCAGCACCACTCTTCCAGGCTTCGGCCCCTCCCTCTGCCCGCTGTGGTGCAGAGCATCTCTGCAGACCCAGGTCCAGGCCCACCCTCCTGTCTGCTGATTGCCAGGTCAGACCCTTCCCCACGGCTCCCTCCCTCCATGTGTGGGTGTTGGGCTTGGGTCCCCACCGTCTCACGGCCCCATCCACAGTCGATGCTCAGCACACGCTTACTGAGTGACTACTTTGTTCCAGGCAAGGCGCTATCTATGTAGGAGCTGAAGGAATGGGAGCTACCGATCTTGCAGGTAGTGTCCCTGCTGCAGCGTTTCCTGGTGTGCACTCTGGGAGAGCCTCCATGGAAATCAGACATGCAGACAGAGCCAAGGAAATCAGCCACAGGTTCAACTCTCCCTGGGCCACTCTCCTGTGGACGTTCCTTGCTCCAGCCTCAGAATGTGCATGTGTGAAGTGAGCGGAAGTGACCCACATCTCCATGGTGTTACGAGTGTCCCTGGGCAGAGTGTGGCTTGTCAAGCAGGCAACACCTGAACTTCCCCTTCCAGGACAGGTAGCCCCACTGAGAGGCTCATGGGACTCAGGCTATCATGGTGGCAAACCCAAGATGGGCAGATGATTTGGGGGCGCTTCTGTGCAGTGCTGCCTGAGGTTGAGGGGGCGAGGGTCTGGAAGGGACAGGGTGGAAAACTGGTCAGGGCTTATGCACACAGCTGAACCAGACTGTTGGTGGAGGCTGGGCACGTAGCATTCCGGCTGTGACGCCGTGACCCGGTGGGTCCGCCTCCCTCTGCCCTGTGCCCATGGCTCTGAGACATGACAGTACTTGACAGTAGTGGCTGGGAGGTGTCGGGGTGGGGAGCATGGGCATCCCCGAAAGGTCCACGGAAGCCCTGGAGTGCGGGACTGAGCACAGGCGGCTCAGGGTCATGCAAGCTGTGCCCCAGGGACACAGGCAGGGACCTTTCCAGGAAGTCGGGTGGCTTTGGGGTTGGGACCTGAGAAAAGGGCACCCCTGGATGCACAATCCTGCCTACCCAGACAGGCTTGAGTGACAGGCACTTCCTCTCCCTCTGTTCCAGACACTGAAAGCCCAAGATCAGGGCGCTGGCTGAGTTCAGTCTCTGGTGGGACCACTCCCAGCTAGATGGCTGCTTCCCACTGTGTGTCCTTATGTAGGGCAGACTAGAGGGACACAGACATAAACACAGGGCAAGACCGATGGCTGACACTGTCGATCGCCACGTGCTTATCAGGTACCATGTGCTCCAGGGGTGTACCCCACTGTGTGCTCACAAAATCCCCAGCCGCCCACTCCCTTCCCAGAAACAAAGGCTAAGACCCTGATTGGCGAGACCACAACAGCCGGTGAAGCAGTTGTGTTAGAGACCCAGCTCACCTGGCAGTGTGAAAACACCCAGCCTGGTGAGCACCCGCACGAGGCCCCAGTGGCACAGCCCACTCTCCTGCCTCCTCTGCGTTTGCCACACTTCGCAGATGCTCCCGCTTCACACCAGCAAGACCGAGCTGACACTGTCGATCGCCACGTGCTTATCAGGTACCATGTGCTCCAGGGGTGTACCCCACTGTGTGCTCACAAAATCCCCAGCCGCCCACTCCCTTCCCAGAAACAAAGGCTAAGACCCTGATTGGCGAGACCACAACAGCCGGTGAAGCAGTTGTGTTAGAGACCCAGCTCACCTGGCAGTGTGAAAACACCCAGCCTGGTGAGCACCCGCACGAGGCCCCAGTGGCACAGCCCACTCTCCTGCCTCCTCTGCGTTTGCCACACTTCGCAGATGCTCCCGCTTCACACCATATCAGTCTTGACTCCCCTGTTCTCTACTGAGAGCCCCACTTCCTCACCCTACGCTGGAGTGAGGGTAGGGACCCCGAGCGGGGTGGACGGCCATGACGGGGGACCTCCAGCACCCCAGAAAATCTCCCACTGGGCACAACACTCATCAAGCCCAGAGAGCTCTGGTGTCTCTCATCTTCTCACAAAACGCTGGGATTGCGGACTAGGCCCTGTCCTACAAGTTTATCCCACCTCTTTATTGTCTTACGGGCCCATCTCCAGGTCACACCAGGGATTAGGGCTCTGTCTGAACTTGTGGGGACACAACTCAGTCCCCAACACTTTCCTGGAGTTCCTGTCCTTCACGTGGATTGCTGCTCCCTGCCTTCTGCCAGCCCAAGTTACTTCTCCACTACAGGAAATAAAGACAGTGGGGGCTTTTGATTGGGTCCAACTTTCAGCCTGGAAGTCTTCCAGATCTATTTTCTGGTAGACTGAGAAAGAAAAGCAGAAGTTGAGCATGGTCAGACTCAGGCCCTCAAGCACCTGTCAAAGTTCTGAGTCCTGCAGGTAAAACGTGAAAAGGTGGAAGGTCAAGAGGGAGGGGACCAGCTGTAGAGACGGGCTGTGCAGGGTCCTGACTGCTGCCTGGTAGCTGTGGGGCCTGGGCAGGTCGCTGCAGCCTCACTCATCCTTCCTCGGGTTTGAGATGGGCCTACATCAATTTAGTGAAATAAGTGACCTGATTGTGTGATGTCATGACAAGAAGGTCGGCTCAGGACCACAGTGCCTGGGTTTAAATCCTGGCCTCGCCACTTTCCACTACGTAGGATGCTGGATGAGTTGCTTAACGTTCCTGTGCCTCAGTTTCCCCTTCTGTAAAATGGACAGTCATAGTGGGATTGTCACTGGTGCTAAATGTCATTATCTATGGGAATGATTCATGAGCATGATAAACATAACAATGCTGACAGTTGGTTCTCACCACCATCTTCCCTTCTGTCCACTCTTCTGTCCTCCTTTCCTCTGTGGCCGGACAATGGCTGGAGAATGCGAGAACCTTCTACTGGGAGCTGAACCATGTCCAGACAAACATGAGTTGAACCACGGTACCTGTGGATGTGGTCTTTGGAAACAGTCTTCCCGGGTGGTGAAGACGGAGTTAAGATGAGTCCATGGTGGAGGACCGTGAACCCTCGTGCTATATGACTCTGGTGCCTTTAGGAAGGGGAGATGATGGAGACACAGAGGACACAGCCTTGTGCCGATGAGGTGGAGGTCAGAGTGCTGCTGCTGTGAGCTTGTGGAGGCCCCCAGTGATGGTTTACATGAAGTGAAACCCTCAAAGCTCTCACTGGCTCAGAGAAAAGCTTTGGGAAGACGGTGAATCACGGGGTGCTATGGCTGACTTGCT